TCCTGCATGGAAGTACTACAATGCGCGGCGCCTGTTCTCAATTTTGCCAGCTCGTTCGTAGCGAGTGGGGACTGCATTCGTGGCCTAAGCACATACGAGGGGTATTTCAGATTTCACCTATAAGACCTGTTTATGGAATTAAATTCGAAACTATTCCCAAAAACTTTAAAAGTCAGCTTATTCTGACTGCCGCCTGATAATCAAGCAACACCATTAAAAGCTGAATCGTTCATAATGGTTTCATAGTTAAGTAACAGGTAAACCGAATGGATTTCTGGCACATCACTGTGTGAATCTCAACCGTCAGGATGCATGGGGTAAGCGACCCAGTATAACTACAGGACCAGATCGATCCAGTCCAGTGGCCAGTTAGTCGACGTAATTAGAGGAGGTCATCCATCGAGGGACCGTTTTTGGGCAAGGACTGACGTCGACAAACTTTTAAAACTATACGTAATTGAGCAGAGATGTCTAGATTTCAGTTTCGTGTACAAGGGTTCAACGGCCTCGAATAATCGTCACATCCCGAAGAGAGTGGAGACTAAAACTTAAAATTACAATTGAAATTTGTTGAAATCCCGTTAAGATTGGTACCAAAATGATCGCGAATGCAAGCTGTTTCCGAAAATGTTCACATTTCCAGCTTCGGAATACATGTTTTGAATTTCCTAGTCGAACTAGAGGGTTTGCAATGGTGTTATGACCGCAGGTACTGCTATTGGCAAGAAGAGACTCAATCGCTCGTTTCCTTGAAAACAAGGCCGAAGGTTTCGAGGAAATCGGGAGTTCGCTACATCTTTAGATTCGTCATGACCAGTGCTATCCGATGGTATAAATTTTATAGCATTTGCGCCATATTTTCATAAGTTACAGCAAAACGACGGTTTGCTACGGAAAGTTGTATCACATTTCGTCGATTGAACAAAAATTAGGGGCGGTATAGTATGCATCTAGCTACGAAAAGTGTTCGGTTCTGGTCGATTAGCGATCATAGGGACGATTAGCAGAACCCCTCTTCACTCCTTTTTCACTTTCTACGTTTTCTGCCTCTTTTTCTGTGGTCTTCCGGAATCTTTCTACAATGTTGAAAGGCTACAACTCTGCTCAGCAAGCTGTCAAAATTAAAACATAAAAACTCCATGTAACTGTTAGCCATCAAAGCATGTTTGCATCCTCTCCTCTTGATCGATGCATGTGCTACATACAATGGCAGCTCTGTAGTGAAGATATAATAAAAACAATTTTTGGAACAGAACTTGCACAATTTTCATCTTACATTCTCCTCTTTTTCAACAACATTGTGTATTTCCCTTTGAAGTCAAAAAAGTTGGATTGTGAAACTTCAAAAATTCTCACAAATTTTCAAATTACTAAGTTACACCTTGGCCATGTGGATTTCCAAACCCCACTAATTTTATACTATGATTGTTCTTCCAAGTTGCAGTTCTTTTTTTTTGTTGAGCTCTGTTCCGTTGGTCTCTTGAAAGAATATATTCTTCAGGTGGCAGGTGGACTCTCTGGCCAGCATCTCTAAAGGCTCTGAAGAAGGTGAAAGCACCGAAACGTCGGCCAAATAAAGCTATTGACAATCTTGGTCGGAAGCTCAGTACTAAACTATTCTGTTCTGAAAATATGCCCCAAGATTCATACAAAGTCGAATTTGGACAATATATTCTTCATTCGGACAACAAAGCCGCATGTGAATGGCGATGATTCAGTCTTCGAGGTATGCTTCATCCTTGATCTAGATCACTTATGTTTTAGGAATTTTTACTCTATATCATGTGAATGGAGAGGTGAGTGGATATAATAGGGCGAGCTAACAAAAGATTTTGTAGAGGCACGCATAATTGCTGTTGACATTTCAAATTTTGGTCCGAGCAACATGCCTCAGTACTGGAAGTGATGTTAAGCCTTGAAAATTTAAGCGGATTTCAGAGGGCAACGGAGCCAATCTGGGGTTTCTGGGCCACAGCTCAGTTTTCGCCCCTCTGCGGGGTCCAGGCGGGTAAGGGCGGTACCACTAACTACCGACTATTCTGCCGGAGTGGGGCCTCCCTCCCTCCTTCAAAATATCACCTGTAAGGACCGGTTGCCGTGGTGCGTTGCAGCGGAAACACATGCAGCTGAACAAATACTGTTGGCATTTAGGAGCAAGAAGGGAAGTGCGCAGAGCGAAGAGGTGAGGCGGGGGAAGTGTCAATGTAAAACCCAGAGGGACGCACTGTCCCGTCCCAAAAAGTGTCCAAATGGGTTGTCAATCGCGAAGCTCACGGCTCAAAAGTAACTGCTATTATCGCACTCTCAACTAGGCCTGTCCACAATTATCGTGTTCACTGGTCATCCACGACCTACAGGCTGAGAGAAAGGGCCCCGAAGATGAGAAACCAAAAGGGGCATCTTAGCGTTGAAGTCGCCGACGATGACCTTAAAGAAGGTATGATCTTCCCTGTAGAACTTCTCCAATTCCATATAGAATGCTTCGTGTTCTTCTTCGTCGTAGCTGGATGTTGGTGCGTAGGCGACGAAGATTGTCAAAGCAGGAGTTGAACCACATCTTCTCAATCTCAAACGTCCGATTCGGGTCGTAAGGCTTTCGTACGAATCGATGTTTATGGCCAAGTTCGTGTTGACGTTGTGGGGGGCGGAGAAGCAACTGTGTGTGTGTCGGTCAGGCGGGGATGAGGCCCAACGCTCTGCTATTCGATGTTACAAAATAGTTTTCCAGTTCGGAAAACGGCGTTGGGGGTGGTAGCGGCGGGGGATTACTCGTCTCGGTCATTCCGATGAACGTCGTACTTGAATCTTCCTGGCCACATCGTCGATCTTTCGGTTGGGAGCTTGGGGCCAGCGTTGTGGGTTTGAACAGCTACGCCACAAGAACTCGCCCTCTTCAGTCCTTACCGTGGTTTGGTGTGTGGGTTACGGAACAACACCTATCCCCGGGCCTTTCGTTCGTCCTCTTCATCGTCCTACCCCCCGCTGCCCTTATTTTGTCCTATCACGCGTCTCACTAAGGCAAATTCACAAAATTGAAGCGCCCCTTTACTTTATTAGAGATTTTTCTCTTGAACCCTATCGAGTCATTTCGCCGAGGAGTTTAAGTGATTTTTCCACTGCTAGCTGTTCACTCCTTCTATTCTGCCACGTCTTCCGGTTCGCAGAAGTAACCTATCGACGATGTTCCTAATTTCCTTTCTAATGGACACGCGCACTATCTACACTATATTTGGAAGCAACGTGACGCTATTGCATCCTCTCATAGCATGATACGACCTACATTTATACTTAAGACGAATCCGTATCACTGTTCCCCAAAACCAAGTATTTTCGCGACAAGCGTCGTATTTGAACAAAATCCTTCAACTGACACTATTCTTCCAGAGTAGACAAGGACTATTACACAGAAATTTCCTATTATCAGGTATCCTATAACTACAAACAAAGCTTTATCCGATATTTATAAGGCCTAGCCCCACACGTCCATATCCTATTCAGATTGCATATTGATCGCCTTTCATGCATTTTCTGGTAAATTACCGCCCCATTAGTACCACTTCCATTTTTGCACGCACATTCGAGAAGATTTTAAAGAATAGGATTGAGGTCCATATCAGGGAACACTCGATACTTTCGCCTCTACAACACGGCTTTCAAAAAGGGAAGTCCACGACGACGGCCATGCTTCAGTCCCTTAATGACTGGACCATTTATTTAGATGATGGAGCCTGCGTAGATGTTGTCTACTTAGATTTTTCAAATAACGCCCCCTTTTACAGAGTGGATAACATCTAACCACTACGTCTACTTAAGCTTTCTCTGATAGGAGTGCACTCCGCGCATCGTTAGCTGGATCCACGCCTTCTTGAGCAATCGCAGGTTTATGGTTAGAGTCAACTGCACTTTATCCTCTCCACGTCAGGCCCCTAGTGGGGTTCCCCAGGGCGGTGTTTTGTCCCCCTTATTGTTTAACATCTTCACATACGAGCTGCCATACCTCATTACCGGTTGTGGTGTCCAATGTGTTGCTTTTGCTGACGATGTCAAACTATACTGTGCGATAAGATCTGATGACGACCGCTTTCGCCTTCAAAAATCCATTGATGAAGTGAGTAATTGGTCTACCAAATGGGCTCTCCCCTTATCCAGTGAGAAAACTACTGTGTGCAATCTGCTTAATTCTGCCTACAGCGATCCTTTTTAGCTAAGTTTACATAATATATTTCATGTGTCATAAAAAATATCTTCTTCAGGAGCTGGGAAAAAACGCTGCGCCGCACGCCTAATATCAACATTTGCCGTAACGTACTGTTTTCTCATAACATTTAGCATCGCAAGAATGACTGACTTGCTCATAAGCTTTATTCCTCAGAAAAACATGATCGTCATTCGTTATAGCCGTCATCAAATAGCTCCCCACCAAAAGCGACGTCGTGGCGATCATTATCTTTCGCTTTTTCTTTGTCTTCTAAACCTCCCTCCTCCCTTCACCTATTGGCTGCCATTCTGGTTTATGCCGCGCAATTATCGCCTTATAAAGATCATCGTTAAGCGTATTCAACTCATTTAGCAGTTACTAGCTTTTATACAACCCGCAAAAAATTAAATATCTTCCAATATTCCTGCAACAGTTTTCCTACGTGTTTGGACCTTATCCGCGTGGTAAAAAGCTACAGACGACGAAACGTATATATCTATATAATAATTTTTATGGTGCATCGGCAAACTCGAACTTGAGCCGGACAACTGCTGAAGAATCTGAACGGTACGCTTGATCTTTTCTTTTGTCGTCGGCGCTAGCGCTGGGGAGATCTACTTATCCAGGACTACGGCGCAAATTTCGTTTTTTTTTTCTTCTTTCAAATACAGTTATGGCAGGACCAATTGAATTAAAGTCAAAAAAGGGTCTTTTGACTAGGTATTGCAATAACCTAGAGCGTTTACTATCAGAAAATGAAGACATTCAGATAAGTGACGATCAGTCTCTTTTGAGCAACGAAATGTCCCAGCGCGTACAGTGTTTTGTGCTGCAACTCAAGTCTACTTCTAAGCTAGTTCTCGAGACATTAGATACATTTGTGTCTATGATTGACTCACTATTAGATTCAATCGATGAGCAACAAATGGCACAAATACAAGAGTATATCGAAAGGGCCCAAAGCGCATTAGAGCGAGCTCAAAAAGTGGCCATACAACTCGAATGCAGACGTACAAGCGCCCGTGATCATATGGTAATGCCACCTAACCAAAACGCCGCGAGTATAGCTGGAACAGCAACCTCACCAAACGCGCACATGGGAACCTTCGTTTATTCAAGTCCTAAGTTACCCGCTATCCCTATACCAACATTTAGCGGACAGATATGGGAATATCAAAACTTTTGGACTCTCTTTTCCGAAAACGTTCATAATCAGCCCTTATCGAAGTTGCAAAAATTCAATTACTTAGTGAAGGCACTGCGAGGAGAGGCGCGTGAAAGCATTCGTCGCTTCCCGATCACTGAGGAAAACTATGACCTGGCAGTTGAGTATCTGCGCTCGAAATATGGCGACATGGCGAAATTTATCGCGTGTCTCCAATCTCGCCTTGAGAAGGCAAGAACAGATAGTACTCTTATTCATGAGCAACGAAGGCTCTTGGAGTACATTATTCCTATTGTGAGCCAATTAGAAAAAGAGGGTGTTCATCTCAATGGCTCCTTTATCATTCAGAAAATCCTTTCAAAGTTTTCCACAGACCTTCAAAGGAAAGTATTGGCACTTCGAATGGGCTCAGGTTTAGAGGAAGTGAATTGGTCCATGAATGATGTCATACGTGACCTTGATAAAGTGATATCAACTGAAGAACGTATAAGTGAAATGATAGGTAAAAATGTCAGCTCCAGTATACGCGCTCGAGAACAAGGCAAAAAAATGAGTAGCCCTTACAACGCCGCAAAAGGACCAGTCACATGCATCTTCTGCAACAGCAGTGGTCATAAATCGCTTGATTGTCAGAAGTATTCCACAATCGAAAAGAGGAAAACTGCCCTCCGAGAGAAAAATAGATGCTTCAATTGCAGCCTTCCGGGACACTTCACTCAAGATTGTATGAGATATGGTTGCAAGGCCTGCAACGGAAGTAAACATCATTATACCCTCTGTCCACAACGCGGTCACCACGAGCGCCCTGCCCAAGCACGTTTTGTAACACCGACATCCTCAGCGCCACTAAAGGGCACAAAGACCTCGCGCGGACCTCAAAAAGAGGAAAGACGTCAACAACAACTGAAGTCACCAAAAGTGCAGGCACACGCAGTAGAGACAAATATCGATCTGACCTTTCCCCCAGAACCATCGGATGACAGCGAAAACTCTATAGGAACAGTACTCTCTACCATCAATAGCAACTCAGTTCCCACTGAAAAGAGCGATCAAACAGTTCTCACTGAAAAGAGTGATCAAATAGCGGAACACGGAAACGTCTTGTTATTGACGGGGGTTGCGAAAGTAAAGGACACGCACCGTGATCAATGGAAAGAGGTCGAAGTCCTTTTGGACACCGGAGCCGACCAATCGTTTATAAGTAACGAACTAGCTAGGGAACTTGGCATCAATGGCGAGTGTCAAACGAAGCTTACAGTGTATACCTTCGGTACGGATATACCTAAGCAAACGATATGTGAATGGACCAACTTAGATATTTGGGATCAGCAGGGCAATAAACATTCACTGCGCCTACTTACTACACCGATACTCACCACCCAACAGAAAAGGGTGCAACTCAATGAAGAAGACCTTGCCTTCATCACACAACATGATATTAACCTCTCCAAATCACTTGAAAAGAAGGACTCTATGCCTCAGATTTTACTCGGGTGCGACCAATTATGGGAGCTTTTGGATGTCCCGTACCCACGCTACAGACTACCATCAGGGTTACAACTACTACCTTCCAAGTTAGGGTATTTGCTCACTGGTCGGCAAAGCTGTATGTTGAGCAAAAACGAATCGAAAAAATTATACCCTACGGTAGCAGTAATGAATTCCATCACCGAATTTGACCAAGAATTGGAACAATGGGATAAGTACTGGCGCATAGACTCCGCCGGTGTAGACGAATTCACAGGAACAGTCGATGCAGAGAAGGAAGCTGTCAATGCAAAGGTGGCCCAATTTTTTGAAAACACCATAGAGAAACGAGAGGATGGATATTATGTACGCTTACCGTATAAAGAATATCATCCGCCACTTCCCTCTAATAGGGTAATCGCTCTGAAGCGCCTGCGCTCAGTTATTCAAATGCTTGCGAAGACGCCCCACTTATTAGAGGAATACAATAATACGTTCGTTGCGCAGCAGGAAAAGGGCATAATAGAAGAAATCCCGAGCGATTCACCTGCAGCAGGCTCGGTACTGCACTACATCCCTCATCAGCCGGTCATCACACCAAACAAAGAAACTACAAAATTGCGCATCGTTTTTGACGCTTCGGCACATTTCAAAGACAGTCCTTCTTTGAACGATGCGCTCCATCAAGGTCCCCTTATCTTACCCGAAATATACGCCATGCTGCTGCGCTTTCGCATACCCAAGTACGCCATCGCCTCCGACGTAGAAAAGGCATTTTTGCAAGTTCATTTACACGAAGCGGATAGAGACGCGACTCGATTTTTGTGGGTGAAAGATATCCAAGCTCCACCCGATGATCATAACATAGCCACATTTCGCTTCACTCGCGTGACCTTTGGACTCAATGTGTCTCCTTATTTACTAGGTGCTACAATCCATTCACCACCTTCGCTGCGCTGTACAAGACCATGTTCTTGCAGAAGAAATCAGAGATAACTTATATGTCGACAACCTCATTCTGTCAGCAAACACCGTTGAAGAAACGAGTCAGAAAGCTCTGCGCGCTCGCGAAATCTTTAGAGAGATGGGAATGAATTTGAGAGAATTTTTCTCTAACGATCAGACTTTGCGGTCACATTTGCCAGAGCTCGCGTGCGCCAAATCGAAGTCACAGAAAGTTCTGGGCATCCCTTGGGATACAGAAAACGATTCGCTAGACATCAATTGCTCTCTACCTTCAACGAATGTGGTAACCAAGAGACAGGTTGCGCGTCACATAGCATCGATATACGACCCATTTGGATGGCTTGTTCCCTTACTAGTTCGAGCGAAAAAGTTCCAGCAAGACCTTTGGAAACAACGGTTAGATTGGGACGACACGCTGCCTTTGGAAACTAGCAAACAATGGGGAGAAATCGTTGACAGTATAAACGGTTTCACAAAGTCACTACCACGGCGCATTTCTCCATCACAACAGATGAATTTGGCAGTATTCGCAGATGCCAGTGATACTGCCATCGCCGCGTGCGCCTATATATTTGGCGAAAATACCTCTACATTAGTTATGGCCAAAGGAAAACTTCCTTCGTTGAAAACAAAGACAACAATGCCAAAATTGGAGCTAAATGCCTTTACCCTAGCTATGCGCCTCGCCCATTCCGTAACGAAAGCTTTGAAATCGTGCATACCCAATTATCCCTGGAACATCTATCTATTCTCAGACTCACAAATTGTCCTGAACTGGCTTTCTTCTGACAAGGGCAAAGAGCTAGGGGTCTTGATAGCCAATAGGTTACGTGAAATACGCAAGATTGCCCAGGACTTGAAAAACGATGGAATTAGTGTGGCTTTTGGCTATGTAAAAACCTCCGAAAATCCAGCGGATGCAGGAACAAGAGGACTATCTAAGACACAACTAAACAGCCATATATGGTGGCACGGACCGGAATTTCTAAAATTACCTATATCGCAATGGAACACCACTCCCTATACATTGACACCAGTGAACAATTATGTGAATGATGACAATAATCTTCCGACTACAATCAACGCTATCTCAACCTCCTCCTCTTCCGTTCAGGATCTGTTCGATTGTAAACGACACGGATCATTCTTAAAAGCAAAAAGAGTAACAGCACTAGTCCTTCGATTTGTGAAAAGATTGTTACACGTCCTTACTCAAACTAGAAGAAACAGCATTTTGGAGAATATCCCAGAGTTGAGAAATATAACAGATGCGGTAACACCACTAGAAGGACAAGAGATCAAAGCGGCGCGATGTGCTCTCATTCGCGATCATCAACGAATCTACCTGCCAAAGGAATACAGGAAATCTATGGAGAATACCCTTCAATTATTCCAGGACACCAACCACATATGGCGATCGAAAGGAAGGCTGGGAAACTCCGAACTGAGTAATGACGCTAAGTACCCCATTTTTATTACTCCAAACACGCCGCTAGCAACACTGATCATCCAAGAAGCTCACGGGACCTACCACAAAGGGATAGAGCACACATAGCTGCTGTAAGAGAGCAGTACTGGATCCCAAAACTACGGCAGCAAGTCCGAAAGCTCATTGCCACTGTGTAAAATGTCGACGCTTTAATGCCTTACCCTATCATTACCCCGACAGTGCGGACTTACCACAACAACGCGTTTGGAAAGCTCGCCCCTTTCAACACTCTGGTTTGGACTTTTTTGATCCTTCCCCCTTGCACCGGAAAACGGGAGTAAGATTAAATTGTATGGCTGCATTTTTACATGTGCTGTCACACGCCTAATTCATTTAGAGGTCGTGAAAGGCATGACCACAAGCGATTTCCTTAATGCGCTGCGAAGATTCATCGCAAGACGAGGGTGTCCGGAATCGATTACTTGCGATAATGCACCCACCTTTTTGCTCAGCGCTAATATACTGTCTAATCAACAGCAGTCGATTAACATCGACATAGCAAATACACTCACAAATAGGGAAATTCGCTGGAATCATATTACGCCATACGCACCTTGGCAAGGAGGATTCTACGAGCGCTTGATTAAGTCCATTAAACACGCTTTATATAAGGCCATGCGCGGTTCACGGTGTCGTACCTTTGATGATATTCATACCTTCGTCGTAGAAGCTGAGGGGTGCTTGAACTCTCGACCTTTAACATACCAAACATCAACACAAGAAGAGCTGAGTTCGGTCCGACCTATTGACTTTTTGCACCATGGAATTACGCTTACGCTTCCACTCGACAACATCAAAGTGGACGAAGAAGACCCTGACTATCTGACACCAGACGAACTTCGAACACTTCGTTACCGAGAAGAAACAGTTGAGGCACTTCAATCCTCCGTCCAGGAAACAGAAACGTTCTGGAATATCTGGCAAAATCAATACTTAACATCATTACGAGAGACCCATAAAACGACAGTCTCGGATCATCGACAAGGAAAAGCGCATCCTACCCTGGGAGATGTAGTCTTAGTTAGCGATCCGATTCTTCCAAGGAACGTATGGAGAATGGCGCGCATCACGCAAATGAAACCTAGTCATGACGGCGAGATTAGAGAAGTCGAGCTCGTAACCGCTACAAAAAGGAAAATTCGTAGACCAATAAATTTGCTGATACCCCTTGAGATATCTGACTCTAGGCACGACAGTTACGGGCAACAACCATCATTGGCCCCACATCCAGAAGAAACAGTACCTGACCCTGAGAAAAGAAGCAACAGCTACAATCTGAGACCTAGGCTACCGGTCAATTATGTTCATAACGTCACCACAGGTCCAAAAAAGCAGCAACATCGCGTTCCGAGATGGTTTCTCTTTCATATCATGCTGGTCTCATTGATTCGTTTAGCATCTGGTAATACAACATCAGAGATGCGCATGACATGCACAGATACTGGGATACAAGTACATGCAACAAAGCCCCTAAAATTCGAAATTTGCGCAGAACAAGTTTGCAAGATTCAGAACTGGGTATCAAATCCTCATCTTGTAAAGTTCCCAGCGGATATTACCTTACACGATCACAATGTAATTTTGAAGTGGGAATCCAATGGACAGCTTGAAATAATCGAAACAGTCTGTAGAGCAATGGACTTCTGCTCTAATATAGGATGTATGATATGTTTACCTATCCTACTAAATCCTGAGTGTTGGCCACTGGGAGCAATAATAATGGTCACACTTATTTTGTATAGCATAGTGGCTTTCTTCTATATACTTCTCTATGTGCCCATGACGATTGGCAAGCCCATACGCCTTCTACTTTCCGGCATACGGATCTCCTTGACACTTCTGTTGCGCCTTGCTCTTCGATGTCTGATAAAAATCGGGCACAAACTCATAAGCCCTTCTAAAACTTCTCGAAGCGAACGCATCGCAGCCGCTCTTGCCGTAATTTCCCTAATCGCTGCGCAAGGCTCAACCATGAATGGCTGTCAACACGTAGAAGTTCTCGAGCACCATTCAACCGTTTGCAAAAAGACAGATGGAAACGAAAGATGTACGGTCACTTTAACAGAAATATTCAAAATTAATAGCTTCCATAACCAAGCCTGCCTACGTCTTGTTCGCAATAATACTCTTATCGGAAATCTGAAGGTACAATGGAAAGGGCTTTATTTACGTTGCGAACAGGAGACGCTTTTCTTTACGCGTTCTGTCAAACTAAAGATCGTCGATAGCAAGCGGTGCCCCTTTATGGGCTCGTGCTCAGGGAGAAAATGCGCCGGGGTCAACAGTTCCAGCCTTATACCAGAACTAGAGAGAGGTAACAGATACCCAGGACGCACGGGATGCTTAGAATCTTGCGCCGGATTGGGATGTGGTTGCGCTTTACCCGGTTCCGGATGCCTATTTTATCGAGTGTATGCGGCGCCAAAATCCACCAAGATCTACGAAGTATTCAGATGCATGCGCTGGGTCG